TTTATATGTAGGCCTACATTTCTGAAACACATAACTTAGACAGTTACCTTTAATAACAGATCACTCTAAATTGTAATGTGGACTCAAGCATTTTCTGTAAAGCTGCTTTGAAATGATGTGTATTGTGAAAAGCGCTATACAAATAAATGTGAATTGAATTAAACACAGGCTGTTCATTATAAGAGGAGGACTTTAGTCAGTTAGTAATATATAAAACATTTAGATTGAATTTCCAGCCACAAATAACAATATCATAATACTATATACATAACCGTGATATGAAAAGTTGGTCATACTGCTATAATTATGAAACGGTTTCACACAGAACCAACCGTGTTGCCACTGTGTAAGAATGATTTGCAAGAATCTTGCGAAATATATTTCATCATCTCAAGCGGACGTGACTTTATGCCTATGGTAATTATCTGATTATTTATCAACTGATGCACAACAGAAGCTCAAGCGCATCACACACACACATCGCAGGAATAGCTGAACCATTACCTTAAACAAACATCCTGCAAACACAGTGAAGCCGAGCTTGTGGAAGTGCTTAGCCAAGGCGAGTCCAAACCCAGAGTCACAGCCAGTAACCAGCACGGCTTTCCCTTCAACCTAAAAAGGAAATATTACACAATATAAATATTTCATAAGGCCACAGCATTACTGTGCAACTGCAACTGAGTGTGCCAACAATCGACTGCCCTAGCGAGAGCGAAACCAACACCTCGTCTGAGCGGAAAATCCTACAACTTCTTCCTAAATCAGATGTTTTCTAACTGTGATCAGCTGATCTGAAATCAGTCGTCATTGATAAAATAACCAGCTTTAGTTTAAAAGATAAATCAACTCAAATTATTGTGTTACCATAAATTAGAATATAAATGTATTTTATATTAGCTAAAATTAATTTCAATAAAATAATTAATAATAACTAAAACAAACAAAAAACATTACTTTTTATATAATAATGATGTTATACAATATAACAAAACAACATAACATAATATAACATGATGATATAATATAACATTTATAATTACATAATTTATTCATAATTTTTACATTACATTTTTAAACTGTCCCTAAAATTACTAATTACACACACACACACACACACACACTGCATGCATTTTTACAATCATTCATTCACACTTTCAAGGCTGAAATAAATAAAAAATACTAAAAATATAAAAATTACGCATTTATATATATATATATATATATATATATATATATATATTGCGAGACCAATTTTTATAGCTGATGAATTTATAGCTACATAAAATAAAATAAATAAATAACAAGCAAAGATACATAATTATCAATATTATTTTATGTTTATGTATACTACCATTTATACCACACATGTACTGCCTAAATCTCTATATAACACACTATGTATAACAGCAGCAGCATTGATTCCAGTGTAAGTTTGCCTGTACTGTACTGTAGTGTACTGTACTGTAGTGTACTGTACTGTAGTGTAGTGTACTGTACCGTCAGTGTCCCGCGGGGGAGTCGAGGCACGGCCACGTACAGCACGAACAGCGCGTACACCAGCACTATGCACTCGGTGACGCTGGTCTCCGGGAACCCGCAGGCCCGCGCGCACAGGTTAAGCACTGACGGCAGGCCGAAGCCGAGGACGAGCGTGAGGAACACCGAGAAGAAGACGAGCAGCGAGACTCTCAGCATCCGCAGAGTCGCCATCTTGACCAGCACTGCTCAGCTCGTACAACTCACTGCTCACAGCTCTGGCGGCGGAGGCGGGGCCGTGGACGCACAGTTTATGAATTATGCAAATATACTCAAATTACAGTATCTTTACCTGTTCAAAAATAGAGCGAATACGGTTAAGGGGCGGCGGCATAAGCATACATTATGATAACATTCCGTTTTATTATTCGGCTACCAAATTTCTGTCAACAAACAAATTAATACAAAACAACTGACAACAGGCAAGCAGTAGCCTACCGGTCAAAAGTTTGGAAACAATATATAAATATTTTTTTATGTTTTTGAAAGAATTAAGTCTCTTAAGCTCATCAAGCCTGCATTTATTTGATCGAAAATACAGAAAAAAAAACAGTATTGTGAAATATTATTACAATTTAAAATAATGGTTTTCTATTTGAACTTTTTGTTATTTATTTTTATTTCAAGCATACAATGAAAAAGTGTACAATATGTACAACATAAGACAATAATCGAAAGAACTGATGATCAAACAACTAAAAATTCACCGCTGCTTGAAAAGGAGTGATGAAGTTTATCACTTGAAATATAATTTATTTCTGTGCTGCAAACTGCAAAGTTGTATTTTCAGCATCATTACTCCGGTCTTCAAGTGTCACATGATCATTCAGAAATCTTTCTAAAATGCTGATTTAATATCAATGTTGGAAACAGTTGTGCTGCTTAATATAATTTTTTTTAACCTGTGATCATTTTTCTCAGGATTTTTCGATGAATAAAAAGTTAAAAAAGAACAACATATTTAGTCACAATATACATTACCGTTCAAAAGTGTGGGGTCAGTAATTTTCTTTCTTTTTTTAAAGAAATAATACTTTTATTCAGCAAAGATTAAAATTGATAAAAAGTTATAGTAAAGATTTATAATATTTCGATTTTGAATAAATGCTGTTCTTTTAACTTATTAATCAATTAATCCTGAAAAAAAAAAAAGATTAAAAATCTAATTTATCTAATCTTTATTTAATCTAAAGTTTATTCAAATAGAAAATCATTATTTTAAATTGTAATAATATTTCACAATATTAGTTTTTCTGTATTTTTGGTCAAATAAATGCAGGTATGATGAGCATATTATATATATATATATATATATTTTTAGCAACATATTTAATGATAATGATTATATTACCGTAACCCAAAAGTGAACAATTAGCATTGGTTAGCATATTTGAAATGTTCCATTGTTAATTCAAAGTAATAATAAAAAAGTAGAAGAGAATGAATGTGAAATCACGTATGTATAGTCTTTAATCTTGTATATTATTATAGTAGGTAAACTGCAATGTTCTCAATACTTCGATATGACTATGAGTGACGTTTGCTGTTTCTTTGTTATTAAAAATAATCCATTTGTGCCCGTGTAACCTATCCAACAGTTTATAACAAGAACATGATGAGGATTTATAAAGACGACGATAATATAAAAACAAACACTAAAATAATGCGTGCAAATAGTTTCACCATGAACCACAGGGTGTCGCTGTAATATAATTTAAGAATGAATCATTTCATTTTTTTTTTATCTCTCTGTTGGATTGTCGTTTTTTAAACACTTTCAATTCACACTCATATTTATCTGTTAAGACCAAGTCTTCAATCACAAACCTGGTTCTGGTAGAAGATGTTGCCTAGCTTTGAAGCCAAATATGTTATTATATGTTGCCTATGTATTACAGTAAATTTGCCAGGTTATCAAACACACACGATCATTTCAAAAGCTTTATTTTATGGCCGGGGATAAAGTCCCTGTAACACTGAATAAAAGGAAACGGATACAAAAAAAGAAATAAAATAAAAAATATAGACAATGTTATAAAAAGAAGATGAGGAAAAACAAGTGGCAATTGATTGCACAATTATAACAACAGATGTAAACAGAAATTCACCATCCAACATGAGAATATAGAGTGAGGAAAGAAAAAACACTCAAAAGCCTTTAAAAAGTGAAACATTATAGGCTAATGCAGACTAAACATTAGGTATAATTTTTATTTTAATCTTCTTTAAAATATAATTATAGGCCAATAATTAATATAAGTAGGCCGGTACTCGTGCCCGGCCTCTATACAGGCCTTAGATTAGCGACTTTTTCAAGCGACTAGACCAATTTAGCGATTTTTTGGACCGCTGGTTAACATGTAGGCCTAGTCAGTCATTTTTTCGGACAGTGGAACGAGAATGATACAGTATTGCAGCGTCCAAATATACTGAGTAGGATTTGAATCTTGACTTACTTCGCGAAATATAAAAAAGTATGTGCTATAGAATGAAATTCGGACGTAGCCGTAGGGTACATCTGCCATGTTGTGCTACGGTCACGTGACCTACCAGAGTCATAAATAGCATACTTCCCATATTATAGGTGAAAACCAGAGTGTGACAAGAGAAGTAGGCCTATGTCTGAATTCACAGTATGTCTGAATTCACAGTAGCCTCATAAAAGAGAAGGCAAAAAGTACCCAGATGACCTACTTCTTCCATACAATGTGCATACCATGAACACTTTAAAATCCCATGAGGCCACGGGAGAGGATTTATGAATGACAGTGAAGCGATGCAACTGATGCTGGAAGGTCACATAATAACAACATGGCTAATGTAGTACGTCCAGATTACATTTATACTACACACATCCATACTATATAGAACACACTTCTTTAGAGGTTGTGAAGTAATTATTCAAAATAAGTACCTACTCAAGAGAGTAGCCTGAGATTTAGGACACAGCGGTGTCCAGCGAATGCACATTTCCAAATCCCGCTGGAAGTAGGACATCTGGGAACTTTACTTTTATCATAAAGTACATACTGTTTTTCCAAATGCTTTGCATTCAGGCATAGCCTATAGTACTCTGTTGGCTTATTCTTTTTCACATACTATATAGTAGAGAAGTATTTGATTTGGGACGCAGTGTATTAGGAGAGAAAACATGTAAAGTGCTGACAGTTGGCACATTACATCCAGTGACATTTAAACTACTTTTCATTAAACTTTTGGCAACACTGGCGAGTACACCATTAAAATATTGAAACTTTGAGCTAGTGAAAGAGAAAGCCGACACTTCAGAGGCCCAAAACTCCCTTTATAGATCAGAAGAATTGCGAAGTATATTAGAATTCACATTTTGCATGAGGTTCAAAAGGTAAAGTTCAGGCAATAAATGCTTGTAAGAAGAAAAAGAGTGTGATGAGTAAGCGTATCGCAATGTGAGCACTTGCATAGCTTAGTTTCAGTGGGTTTAAAATTGTGACTTTTTATTTAAGGAAAACATCAAGCTTTTTCTGAATGTTGTCAAAAGAGTCTATTCCCATGTAGTCGGCCTGGCCCTGTTCCCATCTCTGCTTGCGCTCGGCTGAGGACAGGAGCGTCTGGACCGGCTCGCTCTCACCAGCATCCTCCTGTTGACAAGAGAAGAATACAGCCAATTAACACATTCAACTTACAAGTTCTGAACAGTTTGAAAGAATCACAGCCATCAAAAGTTACAAAGGACAGACTGCCACAGCAGTTTTAATACTGAAGCAGTGCTTCTCAACCAAAGGGCCTCAAGAGGACTTTAGTCTGATTTGAAATCATTTTAAAACAAGCATTAAAATAAGAAATATCTAGATTTGTAGCAGTTAGTTTTGGCTTATTTTAAATTCACTGAAAAAAAACAGAATTCCCACAATCTTGAAAATAGTGGATTTATGAGGCAGACTAATTGTGTGTGATTTCTAGAAATGAATAAAATATTTAAAATATATTTAAATCTACATCAAAATATTAGTTTTTTAATCTAGTAAATACCAAACAAAATGACACTCTTTGAAGAACCAGGATTCCCACAGTCTTGAAAAACTTGGAAATATGAGGTCGACTAATTGTAAAATTGGGATTTCTAGACCTGGTCATGTATATTACAAAAAAAAAAAAAAAAAGAAAAAAAAAAAAAAAAGTCAACTTTCCCCCATTATCCAACCTATATTTGTTGGAATATTATATACCTATAAAATATTAAATGTTTTTATTATATATTAAAAATATAATTATTATAGCAAATTAGCTAGATGCTAATATGTAAATGCAAAATAATAATAAAAAAAAAAATGGAACGGGAGGATGACACTGTCTCCAGAGCATATATAAATTAACTAAATTAATTTCGTAAAGATTTACAATTAAATTAATTTAAATTGTAAAGCTGCTTTAAAACAATCTGTATTGTAAAACGCATTATACAAATGAAGGTGACTTGACATGCCGTTTTGTTAAGATACATTATTCACAGTTTGTCGTGTAAGCAGGGCCTAAAACTTCCAGGTGCAGAAATAAAAGCAAGCAAATGTAATTTGACACTGAATAACAGTTTTTTTTTTTTAACTTTAATAAGGATGTTTAATTTATACAGTGAAGACTATGCAGTCAAGAGCAGTGAGTGATTTTCTCTTTGTCCTTTGTGGTTTGATTAACATTAAAAACAGACAGCAGCGGGTTTATTAGGCTGTTGTCACGCATCTAATATACTTTACATTCACTTAAGACTGTTTACTATAGGATACTAGATTTTTTTTATTTTTTTTTATTTACATAATTTTGTGGGAATTGGTCCACTCAAGTGCAAGGAGACGTGAAAGAGCTCAGTTTAGTGTTCACGCGCTGCCAGAGCTGTTCAGGCGCGCTTCAGATGTGTGTGCACACAACCTTCCACAGCTCGCGAGTAATGAAATCAGTTCCCTTTCACATCTTCTTACGCTTGAATTCAATTGGCAAGGCTTTTGTTGACTTTTTCGTCAACTGTTCCGAGCGTCGTTCATGTTTGTTCACATTCATAAAAATGTTACCAGCCAACTGGTGAGTGACTGGGCTGTCACTTTTTGATTTGAGACATTTTCCATGATTTTTAATGTCTAAAGACGTTTCCATTTTCAACACCAAATATAGGCAAATCCACAGACAACTAACAGGCATTAGGACGGACGTAAAGAGGTGCGCATCTCAAGCGCCAAGTCAGCAATATTCCTGATGATTTATTGGCGTGAAGTTTCGTGCACAATGACAAACAGGAGTGCAACATTCAGGGATTGAAATTAACACCCTCGACCCACCAAATGCGGGTAAAAATGAACTTTGGCGGGTAACGCTGTCAAATCACGAGCCAATCTGGCGTGTTTCTATGTTTACTCGCTATCTTTGCTGTGGAAGTTCGTGTAAGCCAAATCTGCATGGATTAAGCGCAAATACGCAACTCGTGATCCTCATGATATATTAAATACAGCGTATTGCACAGAATCTGCGCATTTCTGGCTTACTTGAACACACGTCACTACGCAACAAATAACGGCGCGCTTGTTCACTTGCATTGAAGTAGTAGCGAATATTAAAAAGCATTTGGTTAACAGAAAAGACATTGTTATTTTCCAACATCCTACATGTTCTGTGTGCTGTATTGATCTGTCCACCTAAAACACATTTTTGGGAAGTAAAAAAAAAAAGCCGTTAAAATCGATTCCCTATTTTCGTTTTCGAAACTTGTGTTGGTTGGTCCGATCGATTGTGCAATCGATTTTCGAACGTAAAGTGACACCGTTTCATATACTCGCCAAAGCTGATTTTTACTCTCATTCGGTGATTGGCGAGTGTCAATTTTAGTCCCTGAGTGGAAATATGAAAATTGTGACACGGCCATGAAGACTCGTGTAAAGGGTTGTTTATTGTATGTGGGGTCTGACCTCACAGCCGGAGCAGAAGGGCTGGTCTCCGTACTCTCGGATCAGCATGGGCACCACCTCAGCGCTGTACAGCGTCCACCACTCCAGGAGGAAGCCGGGGTGAGCCGCCGCCGCCACGTCCCCGCGCACTCGCCTCTGCCGGGGGTCGTACGTGTAGCTCCACGGCTTCATCTGTCCCAGGAAGTGGACCACTTTTGCATTTGCACCATATCTGTGGACAGAAAGACTAGGGATAGTTCACCCAAAAATTAAAATTCTGTCATCATTTATTTACCCTCAAGCTGTTCTAAACCTGTATGCATTTCTTTATTCTGCTAAACACAAAAGAATATGGGTCACTAAACTGGATGGATGTCAATAGTGTCCATCAACCGACATTCAAAATATCTTCTTTCATGCTCAGCAGAAGAAAGAAATGTATACAGGAGGTTTGGAACAACTTGAGGATGAGTAAATAACAATTTTCACTTTTGGGTGAACGATCACTTTAAGTGCAAGATTTACTAACTGCTTATGCCAGCATAAACTACTGTCAGGATTCACTAAAGACCAGGGTCAGAGGACGCAAGGGAGGCAGTGCCTCCTCAAAACTGGATGAGAAAATCCATAAATAAAATATATATATAAAAAAAAAAAAAAAAAAAAAAAGTCTATAAATCACTGTGGCAAGCAGGACAGGGTCGAGAGCCGTGAGAGAATGGCGTGACTGATAATGAGCTGCACCGTCTCGTATCTCATGGAGGAGCGACAGTGAAGGATGAGAGAGGACCAGGCCTGGACTATTTATGATATGTTTTTGGCCGTTCATTTACAAGACAACAGCGTTTTGTGGGCCTGAAAATGTAAACGGGTTTCAAAGTGAAACTTTGAAAATGATACGGTTATCGTCTCCGTGTAAACTACAAAAACATGAATCAGTGGAAACGGTGAAGTCATGCACATGCGTATTACGCGTTCAGTCTATAGGCACGTAGTGTTTCTTTTAGGGCTGTCAAAATAACGCGTTAATTTCGATTAATTAATCTGAGAAGAAATAACGCGTTAAAAAAAAATAACGCAGATTAATCCATTCCGTTTTGACCTTTGCGGAGCAGTTCTAGCCGTAGCCACCATTCGTGTAAAAAGGAGGGAGACAAGAACGCGCTGCTTGGATCATTGTTTGACGGAGTTCGTCAACTCTAAAGTACCACATCAATGCAAAGCATCCAGGAGTGTGTGCGTGAGTCGGTGAGTGTGTCTGAGAAAAAGAGCGCTTGTGTGTGTGTGTGTGTTGTAACTTTTCACGCGCTCTCACATCACACAACCATTTTCTCACGCACAGAAAAAAAATCGCGCACCAAAGAGAAGACACGGAAACAGACAAGACAGACGTTATGATATTAAAAAAATCTCAGCTCTCAGATTCTGTCAATTTTATAACGAAAATCAAACAATACCGTTGGCGCTTGTAAATGTGACATGACAGATCCCTATGGCGGCACGTGAACCGATCATCTCTAGCTAATAGTAAATAAACACGAATGACCAATGTTGAAAGATATAGTAGGGCAGCCTAAAACTTACCGAAATGTATATTCCTCGATCAATCAGTGTTTTTCAACCGCGAAAAGAGGTCAATAAAACAGCTGGAGAACAATTATGTCACATAACATTTAGCCTAAGTTACCTCAGGAAAGCCATTTCATGACCATATGATAGCACGTTATAGTTAGCTATAAAAAAAGAGCTATAGAGAGTGTTTTTCTAAATTTATGTAGCCTACTATATTACATATGTATTATATTTTTACTTAGCTCAAATGAAATATAATGCGTGTTTATTACAAATAACAACTTTGATATATTTTTAACCTTAAATACTACCAGCTGATATGGCTCTCTGTATTTTTACAGCATTGGGTGAGTTTTTTTTCTTGAGAAAAATGAATGCCTATCTTGTGTACCTAATATTTATCCAAATGAGTCAATTTTGCATCAAATCACAAAAATTAAATTAAATTGAAATCGTGAAATTTGTCAAGCAATAATAATAAAACCGTAGCTTACCAGAAATTGTACCATGTAAACATTGTAATTAATTAATCTAAATTAATCGCATACACAATCTTACAGAGTATGTAATTAGATTAAATTTAATCGATTGACAGCCCTAGTTTCTTTACAAAGTGACATCGCCACCTACTGGCCTGACGGCAGAATACAGCGTTCTTAGTCGTTTTCGCAGATCCGTGTGAACGACCCAATGCTCCGTTCTTTAATTTTGCTCATCCGCAGGACTTCCACTCTCATGTGGAACGTGTGATAGGTGTCCATAAGGTTTATGAATGCATTTATTGCTTTGAGGTCAAGTAATACATAATGGTTTAACTGGTTAAAAGGACTGAAATCTGCTCACTTTTTTCACATTCTGTGGGTTTAAATCAGCTAAATCTATTTAAATATATGATAAATGGTGTAAAACTGTGCTAAAAAATAAATACTATGCACACTATCAATACTGGCAGCTGAAAACATTTTAGAATTAGACAGTCTCCTGAAACGATATTCTCACACTCTTCTTTCCTTATACTGTAACCTGATGTTAAGGCACAAGCAGCAAACTCATGTGACTGGTGTGTATCCCCTTACTGTCCCCATCCTGAAGCCCAGCGCATGCCAAGATCAATGATATAGTGTCAAACAGGGCCGCTGATGAAGTGAAGGAGTCGCACTCACTGTTTGAAAGCGGGAAGGTAAGTGTAGATGGCTACGCTGCTCATGTTGTAGATGAAGGGAAGGTGTTTGGTGATGTCAGCTGTTGCCCAGTCGCTGAAGAAGCCGTTCAGAACTCCTTGGTCTCCTCCTATTGGACAAACAATTAATAAAGAATGTCACTTGAAATAGAATTAACTCTAATTGTTTAAAGTGTTCTAAATTATATTGAAAAATGAAATAAAGCACTTCATTTAAGCCTTTATTGAAGCTAAAGTGTGTAATTGCAAAGAATTATTAACAAATAAAAACATGAATAAATAATTCAAATTTAAAATAACGAATACATAAAAATAAAAAAATTAATTTAAATGAACGAATAAACGACTAAATAAAATATTAAATGAATAAATAAAAACAATTTATAAATAAATTAATAGAATGAAGAAATAAGTAATTAACAAAATAAAAAAACAATTAAATAAAGCCAATTAACAACAAAAAAATTAACTAAATGAATACAAAGATTGATTAAAAAAAGAATTAACACAATTAGATGAATAAATCTAAACAAATAATCATTTAAATAATTGCATTGATTTAAATACTCTTTGCACTTAGAAAAAAAATATGTTCACTAAAAGTTTCTTTGTGGAAACCAGTCGATCACGGGGGGGGGGGGGACAAAATTAGGCACAACACCGGTCTTAGCGAGAAGAGGACTTAAGCCTGGATGGTGCAACGGTCGTAACTGTTAGTTCGGACTTAGAATGCCGAGTTTAAGACCTACTTACCTTAAGACCAGGCATAAGCCCTGACGGTGCAACCGGCTCCAACTCTAAAGACTGGTCTCTTAACTAAGACCTACTTAGCAGTTAGGACCAGGCTTAGTAAAGCCCTGTTGGTGCAACCGGCTCCAGAATGATTGCGAAAACTCCCTTTTAAAACCTTGATTTTGTTTTATACACTCTAAAAAAAAATAACATGGCATAACAAAGAATTCAAAATGTAAATGTTATACTTTATGTCAGGCTGTTGCTATGGGGTTGCTAAGGTGTCCTCATAGCTTTTAGTATTCTTTCTCAGTCTTTCCGGTTGTTTATAAGGTGTTCTAACCTCCTACTGTCATTTTGCATGTGATGAAATCTGATCTGTTTGCTCAGAGTCGCTGTCAGAGGCATACAGAGTCCCAAAGCTGCAGACTACACCGTGAATGAGAACAGGGAGTGAAAATTAGTTTGTTGCAAACAATATTGTGCAGATGACAGTATGGTGTGCCCCAAGTGACGACTTTTTTATACCTGAAATCAAAATTAGCAAACACCAACAATACCTTCTGTGATACTCAGCAGTGTAATGGCTATTTTTTACATCTTATAGCACTGCAGGGAAATTAAAAAAATAAGATGAAGACCAGTTAGGCTCTTTACTCCCATTAGAGGAATGTGCCCAGGTGCTTACTAGTTGAAAAAAGACCCTACACATCTAAAAGAGATCCTGGTCTGAACGAACAGACTGCATGCTTGCTCAAAGGTCAGCGAGGACACACGCCACAGAACCACAGACACGGCGATACATGTTACAGCATGACACATACTGACACGATTAAAACAAGCACTGAAAGGCTGTTTAATTAGCCTGTATTAAGATCAGGTGTCTGATATACAGACACAGAATCCAGGACTGTAGGAGGACAGGCAATATTAATAGCGCTCCTGAAGACAGACAGCTGGTTAACATTAAAGGGATAGTTCACCCAAAAATACAAATTCTGTAATCATCTAAAAATCCCCCTCATGTCAGGTGGTAAAGCGGCAAAGTGGTAGTTGTGTAGCTGTATGTAAAAGAACACGACCGCCAAAACTTGTTACGGCCCAGGACGAGCTACAGGACTGTGAAGCTTTAGGGGTGTTGATGCACTCGATCGACTCCATCTGTGTTTCGATCATCGTTCTGAATCCCATCCAGACTCAAGTTGCTTAACTTACCCACATTCAAGTGTTAATAATAATAAAAAAAGTAATGCACGAAGCTAGAATCAACTTTTTTTTTTTTGGTTGTTTAAAAGCAGAGGGTCTGTTCTTTCTTTTGATATGCATATTCAGACAACAAAATATTCTGGGGGCCATGAAACTTAAAATGATCAGAAATGATAAAAAAAAAAAAAACGCTGGCTGGAAAAGAGTTAAAAAGAATCACATACATTGTACATCGCATTTACTGTTGCTTGGTGGAATTTCGCAGGCAAAATCCAGTTATTTTAATATGAATCTGCACAATCTGAAGTTTCATGCAAGGGCAAAAAGAGCCCCAAAAAGATGTTGCTCATCTTCAAGTTGTTCATGTACATTTGCTGTGCTGGCCTGCTTGAAAGAGACCCGTGTGTGAGCCAAGCTGGACTGCGCTTAGATTTGCCGTCCTCTGCACTAAAACGCATGAATGTTTGCTCCAGGACAGGCCATGCGCACGATATGAGGAAATTAATATAGACTCGGCACAAACCATATACAGCATCCTCACTGCCAGCCAAAGAAAGAGCTTTTGAAACTCAAATAATGCTACGTGCCCTACACAGATTATCTAACATGCTGGAGCATTCAGAATAAAGTGCTTGCAAAGCATGCTGGTTTACCAGCTAAACCAATCCACAGCCAGTTTATTTGGGCGTGCCGTCAGGAACACGGCTCAGAATCGGCCCCCGGGGCTTTCCTTCTGCATGTGGCTCTACAAACATCACTGCAGTCTTGAAGCACTCATTTAGATGGGATGACCTGAACTGTCCAGGAATGTACATGTTCTCATCCTCTGCCAATGTAAACCAGCCTGAGACTAAGTCCCCATGATAGCCTCAGGCCATCAGGACTGTAATAAATGAGGAAATGGAAAGAGGCTCGTTTGATGCCCCGTTTCGCTCTACAGGTACGAGAGCACACGGATGTTTGAATGCCAGATGTCTGAACGAAACAAAACTGGAGGTGATTTGACTGGTTTCTTTACACAAAACACTAGGGGTGTAACGATACCCTCATGTCACGCTTTGATACTGAACTCACAACACAATATTATTACAATATTCCAAGAGATATGATAAAAGGTTACAGTTTTTCACTGTTGATGAAAGCTGCAGTCCGTAGCTTTTTTGGGTTAAAAATGATCCAAAATACATTGAGAAAATACATAACCAGCCAGTGTTCAAAACTCTCTGCTTGCCGTAGCTCGATTCAACACGGTAAGCTTGTAATAATGTTTTTAATTTTAGTGGTACTGGTGGATTTCCGCAGGAGATTCGAGCATGTCTTTGCGTCATTACGTCACATCTTTACACACACATCTGTACACATAAAGAAGAGTCTCGGCTAGTATAAGCTATATTGCGTGTGAGGATGTTGCTGGAGATTTATAGCCTTCTCACAGCACTTGATACAATTAAACTTATTAATTTGATGGCGGATCCAGAAAGGTTCAAATGACAATCACCAGTGACAACAGACTCACCCGCTGTAAAACGCAAAAGACTTCGTTCGGACTTCGGAGTGGCTACAGAAGAAGAGACTGCAACCGGACCCATGCGAAAACAAGGACGCATATCGGAAGGACATTACATGTAGTCACGCAATGCTGACGTTGTTAACATTAACAAGTTGAGAACAAAGTATAATTTGCACAGTTTTGCGTGATAAGCGATTGCAGTAAATCGCGCTGATTAAATCTAACAATGTCAGAACCAGAACAAAGGTGGATGTTTCTTACTAGTTCAGATGACATTTTCCAGTGAAAATTATTATGTTGGTCATACTTCCAAAAAGAATAATCTGTGATTCTGAATGTCAGTATCCACACCGGCGCGGCGACTGACAGACACACACACTCTCCTCAAACACTGTGTTCATCCGCGCTGTGCCGTGTCGAAGTACAACTCACGTAAAGTTGATAATTCTGCGAATGACTGCAATTGCAGATTTCAAACAGATGGCAACAAAGAGGAAAAACTGCGGACTGCAGCTTTAAAATGCTAAATTTAGCGTTACATTGTGGGAAACCCAATGCACAGGACAATAGAAATAGTCATGATTTTGAAGCTGAAAATACAGTATTATTTTAGAGGAATATGCTTGCACTCTTTCACTGACTAGATATATTGCATTTAAAATAACGTAGGCCACTTTTTACTGGTAACATAAGACATTTGGCATTACCAGGACCCACAAATATTACCCTATACGCTGATTTCACGCAGCCGCCATTTTGAAATCGCTCCGGTGGGAAGAAATCCGGAAGTGTCGCTTTTAATCGTAGGAGAGTCGCGAATGCGATGGCGTATTGTTGTGTTTAATGTAGAAATTAGTTATTCTAAAAATGTACATTCATTTCTTTCATACTATAGACTATATACAGTGAAATTCATTTATAATTTTTTTTTTAATTATATATAATTCAGAACGTAAAAAAAGAAGCAGGAATGAACTATATACATGTCCTATATTGGATATTAACATCCAATAGTGTAAACCGCGGCTGCAGCTTCAGGTTGGTAGTCCAAGGCATTGTCGTCTATCTGTACTTCCGGGGTTCTTCCCACCGGAGCCTCGCTTTCGATTTCAAAATGGCGGCTGCGTGAAATCAGCGCATTGCATTATAGTAGTTTAATGTAAAACTCTGAAAACTTAATTATCATTTTTATTTTAGAACTATTGATGCATTTTTGTATTGCGATATATTGACATCCCTACAAAACACTCTTGAAACTGCTAAATCGCAGAGAACATCACTAAAGAAATTCAAAGAACACTTGAGTTTAATTTAAAACCCCAAACACTCTGAAAGTGAGCAAAACATGTGGCATAGAAAAGGTTTAAGCACTGACATTCTTTCCAAAATGTGAATCACCATGAGACAACATGGCAACAGTCATGAAGAGTTCAAACCATCCCTGTTACGACCAGACAAACTAGCCATGCTAAAAATAAAGCAATCATTAGAAATTACCAGAGCATTAGAGCATTGACGTGTCATTAAACAGGGCAGAGGATGGTCACTTCACAAAAATAGACTGAAAATTCAAGCTGACGAGATGGTGTAGCATTTATACGGCCTGCAAGAAGCACAGACCTTGATTATGAGCCACCAGATTCTGTGGGAGCACAAAAGCATAATAATCAGGCTCTTGAAAAGCTGCCAGTCTCCATAATGGAAGCGGCGTCAATTAATTTCAGAAAGCGCATCAGAGCCCTCCCTCAAAACGCTGCAATCTGATTGGTTCCTCGACGGTCACACTCAAACTCTCAGCCTGACTCGTATAAGAATGGGTTCAGTGTGTCGTCGAGCTGAAAACGGGTCCAGAACTTTTCATCAGTTTCCTGAAAGCCACTCGCACAGGCTGGCATGTGCAAACAATTATTTGTCCAGCATTTTATCAACTAACGGGTAAAAACCAAAGCGAAGGGAAAGAGAAAGAGAAACATGCATGCTCTTGTCCTGTTAGCCATTTTACCAAATTACGAAAACACATAAAAGTTGCGTAACAAGCAACTTTGCCAAGAGGTGGCTGTAGAAAAATGGCCCTTGGCTCCCAAAGAAAAGGAAAAAGAGGGTTGCCTTGAAAGGGCTTTTGTTCGCTATGAGCGCTTGTGCCAGATTCCTCCCGCCGGGCTTATGAACCAGCTGTGTTGGGCAATACTCGGGAGGCTCTGTTGGGAATTTTTTGCTTGAGGTAAAAAATTTGTGATGCAAACAAGGAAGGGCGAGTTAATTGTGCTGACATTATGTGTGAGATGAGCACACGTCAAACTGATGGGTGTGTGATTATCTGCCGAGATGTTTCAACTGGAACGGAGAGAATGATAAGGAAGAAGCCTCCATTATTTAGCCACGTCTGGCCTTGATTCCAGGCAGGGTCCTTGATAAGACCCAAATCACCAGAGATACACAAGAGCTGCTTAAACAAATGTCACTATTCAAGACCAGGGGTGTCCAATCCTGCTATCTGGAGTCTGAAGACCTTGATTAGTTACTTCAGCTGTGTCTAAACTCTAAAAAATGACACAAAAAAAAAAGCACCTTTAATTGGTCTATATCAGGGGGGCGTTTTTAGGGGCGTTTTACACGACACTGTTTTCATAAAAAGACAAAATAATGCGTTTTGGCCGTTCATTTACACAAGTGTTTTGAGGGCCTGAAAACGCAAACTTTTGAAACCGGGTTTCAAAGTGCAAGTTTTTGCATACGACACCGTTATAGTCTGTGTAAACTACAAAAACGCAAATTTGTTAAAACCGTGATGTCATGTGCATGTTTATAACATGTTCAGGTTATAGGCGCATAGGGTTTCTTTACAAAGTGACATCGCCACCTATTGGCCTGACAGCAGAATACAGCGTTTTAGTAGTTTTCACAGATCCGTGTGAACGGGGAATGTTTTGACAATGTTGTCATCTGTGCGCGAAAAAAGCAAAGGAAAACATTTTTTCCACTATATTCGTTGTGTAAACTGGACGCCACGGACCCCTAAATAAGATCATCTTTATGTGAGGGACCCTCACCCTAAAACTTAAAAGGCAGCTCTATATTTTCATGTAAAAACCAATTTAATAGTACGACCAATTTACACTGTGAAAAATAAATATATGTAAAATATTGTTTAGGAAAATATTTAGTTTACTTTTTTTTATACTCACTATAGTACTGTATAAATGTATGCAATTTTGCCTATAAGGTTTACATTTAAGGATGTTTTTTTGCAATTGTGAATTTGCAATACATACATTTAAGGATGTTTTAATGGAAACAGAAAGGCCATATTTTATGCAAATAATGGTCTACACTGACAAAACATTAAAAAAATAAATCGTGCATTTCTTACGGTTTCCTTCAAATACGATTGTATAGTTCATAATATTGGGAAGAGCACAAAAGGTGTTATGATTAGGCCGTTGTCTCTGTGCACGACACCAACAGCACACCGGTGTTCAGCAGAGGTTTTACAGCACTACTGTCATCAGACCCATTCAAACCGGCCGGCCACGGAGCGAGTCCTTCAGTGTCTGTCATTATGTTGCCACATCTGCTAGACAGTAAGTGCATCATTGATCATTATTAGTGCGAAAATATCTCCTCAATTAAACATGAGTTCTGCTTTTTAGAACACAATTTAAAGCAGGAATATAATGCGCCAAGCAATCCTCGCTGTAGTTAAAACACACCATGCCACAGAAAAAAAAAAAAAAAAAAAAAAAAAAAAAAAAGTGTTCAAAAGCAAAGCATCCACTACAAATATTTCTATTTAAATTACAGTAATGTAAAAAAAAAAAAAAAAACACTTATGGATAATGATTTCAGTGCTTAACTATTATTGAGATTGGCATATGAAATCTAAATGTAGAAATGGCAATGTTCAAATGGAAAACGGTTTAAATAATTGTGTTCACGTCGCTCACTCCAGTAAATGAGTGCGTACACACAGTCTAGAGTGTCTGTACGGTGCGCACACATTTACGCCAAGGTTATTTTTTTAAAATCCCGATGTGCGCTTGGAAAATTGCGTATGAACATTTCAAAGCCTTTTTGTGCGTACACAACGTTTATAAATCAGGCCACTGACTCGCACCATATTAATGTGTTCTAAAATCATACAATAACTTTGTTTGAGAAAGAGAAATTTAAGTTATTTACAAAAATTCTTGCCCTTCACTGTCCGCAGCCATTCAACATAACATACTGTAAAGGATTCAGAATATAACGCATGTGTCATATGAACTACTTCTATGGTGCCTTTTGGCCTATGGTAACTTTGTTTAGTTTTCGTTGTGTGGAAAAGAGCAGCGGGAACATTCTTCAGAATTTCTCATTTGAAATATTTTAAGTAATTAAGAGAGTAATCTCATCCCTCCAGCTTGGAAAAAAAAAATCACTTAAGGCTTGTTCACACCAAGGACGGGAACTATTGATAACTATAAAAATATGAATTCCAGTTCTGTGAGAATAGGCACACCACAGCTATAACACAGTGGAACAATATAGTTGGAATCACTTTCAGAACAATGTTGTCCAGTTGACCATAAACATATTGACAGCCAATCAGAATCCATCCTGCTTTAAAGAGCTTGAGCATTTAAGGTGGCAGATGACGAAACTGCAGCGCATGCTCATAATAAACAGCAGAAATGAAAGACGCTCGTGGTGTGCGTACCATCAAAGCTGCCGTGCTCGGTGCAGAACTGCAGAAGTCTTCCGTAGGTTTCGTTGGACGGGCGAAACACGAACACACCAGAGTTGAAACAATCAGGCCAACCGGGGTCCGGCGCTGCAGACAACTCCTCTCTGTGGAACAGCTCGTCGATGTTGGAGACCACCTAGAGCCAACAAATAGTGTGAAACTTCTCAGAACGTCAACATAGTCAATTTACCTTTAGCCTCTCGACCCACATTTAATTTTCTTTTAATTTTTAATAATGTATTGTTCATCAGAGTGGTCCAAGACCTTAAGACTTTTGTCACTTGAACTTGGAATACACACATTTCTTTCAACTGAATTCGAGGAGTTTGTGTGGTTGTAATAAAAATAGTAACGAATATTTTCCACACGGGTCAATTTGACCCCTATAGGAATGAATGGGACATGAAAAAAAAGAGATTTTATCAAAATTATTAAAAAAAAATCTGGCAAAATCCAGAACAAATACACATTAATGGAGGCATGAAGCCCAATTTATACTTCTGCGTCACGCCGTAGCTACGTCGTAGGCTGTGTGAAGCGCCCGCGTACCCGTCGGCGTACCCTGACTACCCTGCCTCACCAAAAATGCAACGCGTCAGTTCTACGCGGACGCAAGCGCTGTGATTGGCCTGCCAGAACCCCTCCCTCGGGCTTCACACGCTCCCTCTGCAGAAGTATAAATCAGCCTTGAGACTTTAAAACATCCCGAATGCAGAACACACTACCATGCACACGCACGTAGGAATTCCTATTAAAATAAAATGGGGGACCATATAACAGAGGCAATGTTTTGTTTAAAAATCAATCAGTCACAAGGCAGACTGCACACAGATATGAAGTGGTAAGATTTGAACATTTACAAAGCAGAACAATTTGTTTTCCCACAAGATGTTGGCGGAGACACCCAATGTGAGACTTTAAGCGATTTTAAACAGCCGTTTTGCATGTAATGGAGAGTTATTTTGTATATAAGTGAAAGAATGTGACGAAAGTGTTAATTAATATTAAAATTATTGGTAAAATCTAGTAATTTAGAAATAAATACAAGTTTGTTTTTTGTTTTTTTGCATCATTCGTATTATATAAAATGATACAAGCTTTCTGGACAAGCAAAAATAAATAAATTTAATAGGCTATATTAGGGCTTTGGGTCAGGGAAGGATTTTTTACAGGAGGAGACCATAAGGGTTAATGAATATTTTGTGGTCTTATGGTGTACAATTCAGTGGTGCACATACACATTGGTGCAAGTTAAACAAGTTAAGCGCAACACAGAGGCTTACATTCACACACTGAGTTAATGAGGCACAATGTAATTCAAGTGACATAACAAACCACACGGACTAACCGCATTATAAATATGTCATGCATGTTTTGACAAGGCACAACTTAACTCAATACTCACCAGCGTGTCTGCATCCATAAACACACATTTTGAGTAGTGTGTGAGAGTCCAGCAGTGCAGCTTGGTGAACGTGACACCCAGATCGGGTCTCTTCATCATGGCCAAATGTGCCGTGTCCCCGCTGTCCAGAACATCCACTAGCCTGACTTCATCATAGATCTTATGAAGCACTGCCCTAGAAACATTAAAAAACAACTTCTTTTGTGTTAAACGGGTTTGCAACACACTTCTATAGTGGCTGAAATTGACATGTCGTACCTTGACTGATCGGACACATGGGGTCCAATGAGCACCACCAGCTTTTTTGAAGTCTTGTGGTTCCTAAGGGATTTTCCGAGCACCATTGCTCCTCTTGCATAGCTATCATTTGTGGCCAAAGTGACAAACGCCTGTTCTGCTAAGGAAGCGAGAGGGTTACAGATTCACGTAATATGGCATGACTGACAGATGAGGTCTTATGAATTTGATTTCACATTATCTTGCATGACAGAGTAGATTTCCCCAAAATAAGCCTAGGAAGTCAATGATGCAGATTTGCCCACATAACACAAAGCTTAATATTCAAACAGTACAGTTGAACAAATGAAACAAATGAAAAGCCAAATAAGGTTTAAATATGGTTTTAAAAGTATCACGTTTTTTTTTTGATGAGTTGATTTGATTTAAAGAATCGATTCTTTTGAATGACTCATTTCAAAGAACCGGTTCAAAAACTGATTCAGTGATTATTTTACCTCATGGCATGGTTCCTTACACCCTTGCTTGGCATATGATCTAAAATATTCCAGAAAAGCCATATTGTTAAGTTGTATTAAAAGGGGGGTTTGTTCTTAATGTCAGAGTTCGGTGTGTAACCATAATTCAGCGCAAAAAAGAACATTCAGAAACGAATTTGCATTAAACAATATTAATTATTTTACAGGTAGGCTATATCTCTCCACTCAAAAGTTTTGCATGTTTATTCAAATTTAAACAAATTATTTTTGGCATTTAATAATTCCTCGGCTCATTATGAGTCACACAAAACCAATTATTTAAAAACGACGTTCGCTGAATCTAGTTGTTAACTCGGATAATTGCGAGTCGAACACATTCGAGAAAGGCGGTTCAGTGAACTCGAGCACCTGGATTTGATTCAACAACGAATCGTTGGATAACAAAACAATGATATTAAACTCGTTAGTAATAAAGCCAGTATATAAACCAATATTAGCTACACACTTTACACCTGCAGAAATATAAGAAATGCAAAGAACATGCACAGTCTTTAAAACCTTTTTGATGCTACTCACAGATGTATAAAGCTCAATATATAGCATGTAAACACATCGTAGCTATATACAGGTAGGCTACTTTGTAAGAGATGGACATACCTGCCATGCTTGAAACCTGTAAAAGCTACTTAGTAGCTCGGACTCCCCCAGAGCAGCAGTGACACCTCAATAAAAGAGACTTTGTTTCACGTCTTGGCTTCATTTATACCAGCGCGGACCTTCTCTATATATACTGCAGCCAGTCACGTGACCAGAAAGCGCTCTGCGGACACGCCCACGATTGGTTGGTTATGTTTGGGGCGTGGCTTCATATGTGTAACTTGCACTTGTGTGGTTGACAAACTTCCAAGTTTTTGTAATTTATATGAATGTAAAAGGGCAAGTGTATACTTTTAAATTTGAATGCCAGAAGTAGGCTACATGTTGTTTCATAAATATGTATGTACAGTATATTTGTACATATAAAATAGTGGGAGTTAGAGGGGAAATACTAACGATTACACTGATAACACACAGCAGAAGATATGAGGACAGTTTTTCAGCTCTACTCACTGTTAATATACAGGTGTGAGCAGATTGGTGTCTTGTGCCATCTGCTGGTCAGACTTTAATTCTAAAAATCATAAATAGCCTACTAGATACATCATAAATACATCCTATTGCACTTTACATATTCTAATAATTGACCGGTTGACTGTACATTATCTCTTACATAAGTATATGGGTGCATTACAACATTGTGTACCTTTGTTTGAAAATATAAACCACTTTTAAGAAATTTTAAGAAGTAGTATTATAATTGCAAGAACGCCTTTCAAAAAGTAATTTATTAAAGGGATAGTACACCCAAAAATGAACATTTTTTCATCATTTACTCACCCTCAAGTTGTTCCAAACCAAACCTGAATGAATGTATTTCTTCTACTGAACACAACATTGTGAAGAATATGGAGGGGAGGAAAATAGCATGGAAGTCAATGGTGCCCATATTCATCAAATATCTTCTTTTGTGTTTAGCAAAAGAAGATATTTGATCTTATTTTAATTTTATTTTAAAATTAGTAGAAGAAAATTTGACGTTTTTGTGGTTCATTACGCATTGCGTGACGGTTTATGGGATATGTATTTTTCAACCTACTAAAACCTCGTGGCTTTTCAGTGATGACGTCAATTTGTAGGCCAGGACGAAAGGAAAAGGCCCGGTTGATTTCCTTATTATATAATACTATAAAATTATATAGTAAAATAAATATATAATAATAGCCTATATAATATTAATAAGCGTTATTCAACGTCTCTTAAAGTCGCTCATCAGTCCGCAGCTGAAGAGTTGTGTGGTCATGTGATAGATGTTACTTTTCTCAGCGCTATAACAGATTAACCAAATCAGTCGTTTTACAGGAAAAGGACATTTTATGTATCCATTTTCTAGAGATTTGTGGGGTGGTTTTTAATTTGTAACAAATACACACAATTGTAAGACAAAACATGTCCTAAAATTTGAATGCGTTCCAATGAATGGAGGACTCGGTTTGCAGGTGACGCTAGACTCCTGTGTTTAGCAACTAGTAGTCATTTCTGTCTTGAACGCCCCTTTATGTGCGGTCAAATGTGTCGACATAACCGCAGAACTCACTTACAAAGATTTAAAGATTCCTCCATGGATTCTTGTCAAAATGTATGCGTGGAGGCGGGGCTTTAATAGACGTTGCGTTGCGTTGCCTGCGTCAACATGTCGGGAAGCGTTCTTATAAGAGTTTTATCTTATCTAAGCAGAACATCACAGTTTCTACAACCGAGTAAGACGAACTATGTGAATATAAGAAGACCATTCACTGCCAAGCTGCAAGGTAGCACCTGCATTTTAATCCGACCACAGACGCGCGCGCGCGCGACACATCAGTTGGTTGTGATCATACCTTCAGGAACATTTTAGTGCTCTAAATGAATTTTACAATCGTTTACTTCATCATTATACTGCTTTATTTTATGGTATAAATAGATGTATGCACACCTGTTTGTTTACTTCACGAAAACGATATAACACTTGGTTTGATGTAATGTAATTGTTTTGCACTCCTGCTTGTTTATGTTGTAGTGGCACGCGTACGCGCGCGGCGCACCTATATAACTCCTGTATTTTAAAGAAAAACTAAAGTGGTAAACAATCTTAAAATATTGTAGGCTACTTGTTTACAACTGATTTCTTAAAGGATCAACAAGTCACTTTTTAATCCACTTGCCCTTTGTCAAGCCAGATAACGTATGATTCTAGTCTTTTGTTAATCATAATCAAGCTGAACGTTGATCCAAGTATCATCAACTCTCTTTTTGTGCTGAATAAAACAGGATTATGTAGTTGTAATATAGATTTTTATTTGTAATGCATTTCCAGAATACAATTAATTACCTGACTGACTCATTGATTGTTAATAATAATAATCATGCAAACTCATTCTCCCATGAATACAGGTGAAGGTCAGATCAGACCACTAGATGGCGTTAAAGTCTTAGATCTGACAAGGTATGTGCATTCATATCATGTTATTATGAGTGGCCACTAAATCAAATATTACACAAAATGGGCCAATTCCCAAAATAGTAAAACACTAAGCTTTTAATTGTCGTAGCTAAATTTAAGCAAATGCACTACTTAAAAAGCCATTGCATCAAAGACAGAATGAAGTTTTTGGCAGAATATAGGAGATTCAGAGTTGTTCAGCAGAGTTGTGTGTGTGTGAGAGTGATGAATCACAAACACGAGTTGCATGATGATACTTCAGAGCGCTGTCTGAAAATCTGCTGACAAATATAATAATAAATGCATCTCTACCACAGTAAAGCATGGAGAAAGAGACTTTTTAGCTGCTTCTTCACTGGGAAAAGTCATTTAATGCTTTGGAGCACAGCAGAATGGCTTGCTTCCCACAATTGAAAAGTTGTTATCTAACGAGGAATGATCAGATGTTATTTTTTTTAACATGACAATGCTCATGCCCACAAAGACAACCAATAAGTGGCTCGAGAACCAGTCAGGTAATGTTTTGGCCTGATCAGAGTCAAGATTTGAACCATATAGTGAATATTTGATCTCACATTAAACATTTTTTCAGCTACTCATGAACTGTTTGAAGCCATTAACATTGAGTGGAACAACACTGACTCTTCTTCTCATGTAAAAAGCTGTCTGCAAGTTTACCAACATATGGCTTAAACATTTAAAGAAAGGTTTGAAGCGAAGTTATCTACTGTATTTGTGCAATTCTCGCTAATTGCCTGACCAGTGATTTGTGATTAAAATTGTTAGTACCATTTAAATCAAGAAATATTTAGCCATTATTGGCTTGGCACATTTTTATTATTATTTTTTTGCCCAGGAGTGTAAGCTCTTTATATGCTCGTAAAGGTTTAATATTAAACACTATCATTATGGTGTTCAATGCAGAGTTCTGGCTGGACCTTTTGCTACTATGATATTAGGAGATTTGGGAGCAGAAGTGATCAAAGTTGAGCGACCAGGTGAGGTTTCTGTAAATGTGCTATAATGTGAATTCGTTTATATGAGAGATATTGCTTGAATTTTAGTTTAAGAAGATGTTGGCATCATTTCAAGGGTTGGGTTTATCCCGAAAATAGAAATTCTACCATTATTGTCTTCCTTCCTTTTTTTTTTTTTTTTTTTTTTTTTTTTTTACATTTTAAAGAATATCCCTGCCACTGTTTTCAATATAATAAAATTGAATTAGGATCGGGACTTTCAAGCTCTTAAAAAAAAAAAAAAAAAAAAAACCTTTCATTAAGTTTTGCTTGCATATATTAAAGTAATATATGACCAGGCATGCCTCTCGAGCAAATATTTTGAGTTGGGTAATCCTGTTTCCATGTTAAACAGCTGCACTATAGTGACGCTTATCATATTAAACACGTCACGTTGCCAGTTCCTGTAAAAATGAGTCTTCGTTTAGATCTAAACAGTGTCAGTGAACAATGACATCTAGTGAATTATATTCAGATGTGAATGTGTGACAGGCTCCGGAGACGACACGAGAGCATGGGGCCCTCCGTTTGTGGGTGAAGAGAGCGCTTATTTTCTGAGTGTGAACAGGAACAAAAAGGTATTTTTGTTGAGTTTTGATTCAAAGAATCGATTCTTTCAAACAATTCATTCCAAAGAACCTGTTCAAAAACTGATTCAGTGATTCTTTTACCTCATGGCGTGGTTCCCTACATCATTGCTTGGCATATGATCTAAAATATTCGCGAAAAGCCATATTGTTAAGTTTTATTAAAAGGGGGGTTTGTTCTTAATGTCAGAGTTCGGTTTGTAAACATAATTCAGCGCATTAAAGAGCATTTAGAAACTCATTTGCATTAAACAATATTATTTTATAAGACCAACATAATTTTTTTTTTTATATCAGGTTTTTAAAACTGACTTCTGCCGTTATAACTTCTCCCCTCATTCATCTGTCTTGCAGAGCATTGCTGTTAATCTTAAAGATCCAAAGGGGACCAAACTTGTAACTGAGGTAAAAGTTCATAACGTATTAAATAACATTATTAAAGAACACCTAGTCAGTCGGTCACACTTTATTCTCTCTCTCTTATGTCAGCTTGCCAAAGTCTGTGATGTTCTGGTGGAGAATTACTTGCCAGGGAAGCTGAAGGAGATGGGACTCGGGTACGAGGAGTTGAGTGAAGAAGCCCCTCGACTCATCTATTGCTCGATTACAGGTGACAATATCCACTATAGGGAGAGCAAAGGCTCCCTGATATGAGCTAGTAACACCATGTCTGCTGTAATTATGACATAGCTGCTTGTTTTCACATTTTTAATTAGAAATTGGTAGTATTAAATACTGGAATGCAGATATTAAATTAAAGTCCAGCATGAAGTGAAATGAAAATCCAGCTTTTAATGTTGTTTATATGTCTATGTGGTGTTTTAATATGCTTTAAGACAAACCATGCAAATTCATTTTCATTTCATAATTTTGAGTATATTTGTTTTTTTTTCCTTGTGCAAAAAAAGCAATAAATAACATAATTAAACCTCAAGAAACATTCAAATAATAATAAAAAATGTCATGACCATTAAAAAAAAAAACATAAAAAACCCTAGCAACAGCATAGGAACGCCCTGGCAACCGCCCACAACACAGAAAAAATAAATAAAATCTTGTTCCAATTAAAATCTATCTAGGTGTGGTCACATTAGCAGTTAAAGTAGACATATTGTGGGCAAACAAGGTTAATTGGCAAGAGTGTAGCAATTGTGTGAGCAGTTTCATACAGTCACTTTCAAACTAAGCACAAGCAGCTTTCTTTTGACGAACGCAACAAATTCGACTGACCAACTTGCATTGAGAAATCTTCATGCGAAATTTGTGTGGATTTCTGCCCAATAAAATAGGCAGAACATCAGTAAATGTCACCGCAACGTCACTCGTTCTGTACGTTTATAAAGGCTTTAGATGCATTTATTTTCTCTTTTACCATGTATAATAATTCGGTCCATTACATGAATGAACACAGTGTGTGTTTGTAGAATTAGAGGAAGCATGGGAACAAAAAGCTGACGTGTTCTTCATTACGTTTACATCTCGTACTCTAGACACGCCTCTGCTTTTCTAAATCTGGCCTGCATTTAATCCATATAAACCCTAATGTTTTCAGCTGTATGGCCCTTATGAAAAGGCTAATTTACTTTACTGTCTGATTTTTTTTTTAAATCACACTCATAAAGGAAGCCACTCTTTACTTGAAAATTGTTCTGTAGCCACGCTAATCTGAAGCGGATGGGCACTGTCACCACGCTGGCTGCTTTGGTGATTGGTTTCACGTGTCAGGCACCCATAAATCCTGCAGTCAACTCGCACACTTGATAAGGAAATGGAAATCGGCATTTCTGCAGCCGGTTACACATCTCTCAGTGTGCGCCGCCTTTCATAAACCCTCGTCAGGGCTGTAAAAAGACGCCAGTTTTGGTCAAACTGCCACATTTTTTTTTTTACTTTTGTATGTATATAATGTTTATTACTACAAGATGCATCTGGATTTAATACTGTTTTAGAACTGTTTACTGAGAAATGTCTGTTTTTGTTTAAATGCAAACTTGAAGTAGTAAAGTAAAATTATAACATCTATCCACACGCAAAAAATTCAAACCCATCAAAGAAGTTGAGCAAACGGTAGTCTGATGTTTGCGTTGCTCATACATTTCATGCAAGTTGTTCCATCGTGTCAACACTTCAGTGGCATCTCTTGTGGTTGATGATGAAGTGAACTCAAAGACTGCATTTTTTTTTTCAGCTGTTCTCTGTAAGATCGCAAATCACAGCCAAATTCCCATGTCTCGCGCTGCTTATAAAGACCTGGAGGCGTAACCCACAAGACCGCATTAAATTGTGGATGCTGGACAGTTAAATTGGAATGATTTACTGTGCTCATCCTGTATCGTTTAATTTTCCCCTTCTGAAAGGATTTTTCACTTTCTTCTTGAGTGTAAAATCAGTCTGGAATGCTTAGTTTCAACAAGTGCAATTTGATTTATCAGACGCAAATGTTCACTTGACAGGGATTTTTAGGACAAGCCTCTTTAGTTGATTGTCGTCATCGTGCCTTCTGTGTGTTTTGCTGACTCTTAAACCTGTGGATATCGGTAGTAAAGATGTATCACCCGTTTAAAGAAATAGAGTTAAAGTCTTCCACTCATATCCATTCTCCAGAGAAGTCCTGGAAGCATAATCTCCAACTCTATCAAATTAAAGCTGCACTGTTGATCCATTTCCCTCTCAATTAGATTGACAAAACTTAATTTGTTCTATATTTACTGTAATAGATATGGTAGATATGTTCATGTATCATATGATGTTCATGGATCATGTTTTTATCAAACTGAAGCAAATCATTGGGACATTACTTATTGTAAAAATAAGAAGTCTAACTGTGAACATCTGTCTTAACTTGTGTTGACCCAAGGTTAAAAATTTGTAAGGCCGCATTACTTAAGGCAGTAAAGACCATAATGCGATGTTCCTTGGGGAGATAAACTAATAGTTATTAGAGATTAGAAACCATTATCTAACATGAAGTTAATATAGCGTGAAGAGTAGCTATTTAAAAAAAAAACACTACATTTCCTTAATCTGGTGCTCCTTTTTTATTTAAATGAAACGAATGTACTGCATTTTAGTTTGATATGTTTTTTTTATTTAATGTTTTGTATTTTTAGGGGATTTTATGGTACTAAATGATATTTATGCAGTAGTTATAATCCATTCATTCACGTTTTAAAGCGTATACCTGAGAATGAAATTTCCAACAAAATCTGCCTTGAATGCTTTGTAGCTCAGACTCAAGTTTGATCTCTTTAAAAAAAGATACTTTATTAAATATTAAGATACAAATTATTGCTGAAGTGAAAGAAAGTGAACAAAGTTATAGAAGTTTAACTTTATTGTTATTAAAAATTGACAAAAATACTATTTAATTTTTATATATGAAATATATATTTTTCAAAACATGTTTTATTATAAAACTGTGAGAAAATCAAAGCCATAAATCTAAACAAGTTAAGTCCCAAATTTGAGGTTGATATCTCAAAAAAAAATTGTTTGGCTGCAGTACCAAACGTTTCCACTAGATGCGATTCGTTTCCCATTCATTTCCAATGCGGTCAAGTATGACTATTTTTTTCACATTGAAAGTGCCAAATACTTTACCAAATTGTAGTACCATTCTGAAGAAGTAAAAAAAAATCAACAAAAAAACCAACACATATTGTATTTGTTGAATGACAGAAGAACACCAGAGGGTTAAAATGGTGTCCAGCTCACTGTCAACAAGCTGTCAACACTGTCAAGTTTCCTCAACTGTAATAATTAAAACAATAAAACAACGTGACAACAATGTTCTTGTTTTTAGCCCCTAAAGCGTAATATTTAGATGTCTTATAATGTGCATTTAACCCTGCTTTTGCATTGTCACCTTTATAAAAAAATAAATAAAATATTCCATAGAATTGTGACACCCAGGTAATTACATCATTTAGAAAACGATCTCATAATGTAATAATTAAAATAATTATTACTCAAAATGACTGCATTTGTCAAGCTAAATTATCTAAATGACATATTCAGTATATATTTATGTGGATTGATATTTATATGTTGCTGTGCTTGTTAGATTGGGAATGTTGGATTCAGCATTAGAGGTCTACGGAGCCCCTAAAGGGACATTTGCAAAAAATAAAAAATAAAGACTATCGCGTGCGCACGCGATACATTTCTCGTGCGCACGCATTACAATTTCCGGTTTGCATACAATTTGCGTCACGGTCATAATAAGCAAAAATATTTAAATTCATCCCCAACTTAAAAGTTGAAACTAATATATAACAGACTCATTACATGCAAAGTGAGATATTTCAAGCCTTTATTTGTTATAATTTTTATGATAATGGCTTGCAGCTTATGAAAACCCCAAATTCAAATTTAGAATATTGTGAAAAGGTTTTCATAGCTGTAAAACCATAATCATCAAAATTCTAACATATGCACAATTTTAAAATGTATTTCTTTGGTTTTATTATTAATGCGAATATTTAAAGGGGATTAACCAAGCAGTCTTCCAATTAATATTATCAATAATAGAGTTCCAAAACAAATTCCTCTTGGTGCTATTTTATTTTGTATTTGAAATATTGTACAAATATGTTTATTATTGCATTTTTTATCAATCAATTCAATGCCATTTAAAATTAATTTTGGATTTATCATTAATGTGGAGTTAAATTAAATATATGACTTTTGATAAGATGAATCAGAGTAGGGGAAATAGCTTTAATGACAGAATTAAATTCTTTAAAATGCACAGGAAAACTATGGATTTGCATAAATTGTTCGTATGTTAAAATATTTCCATAATTATCAAACATATTCATAAGATGATTAATATCCCTGTTAAACTAATTCCTTAAAAATAAGGATTTATTGGTCAACCAACAGTTTAATAACACTTTGGTCTTTTTTAATCTTGAGGAGAAGTTTAAACTTTGACATCCATGCTCTTGTTTTCCTCATAGTAATGACGGTGACGCACATTGTATGCAAACCGGAAATTGTAATGCGTGCGCACGAGAAGCACGCGATAGTCTTTATTTTTTATTTTTTTTGCAAAGGTCCCTTTAAGGGCTCCGTAGAGGTCTGCTGTGGCCTTCTCGTTGAAGCCTTTAAATCTTTGCTTTAAGAAAATCTCATTACCAGTCTCCTGCCCCAACACATGAACTGTGATTAATTAGACGCCCCAATCAGGGATAAGGGAAGCCATTCATTTACGGCTGGTTTGTATCTCACATGCTGTAGCAGTTCTGCAGTCTTGTCCAATTGATTTGTAATGGGCCTTGCAGTGGCATGTTGTCAGGTGATTTATTGATATCCTTTGGTTTATTGCTTCAGTCCTGAGGGGGCAAAATTGTGGTCCTGGGAGTGACCCATTTTTTTTTATTTTGGCCCAATTTCATCAGGAAATGGCACTGCATAACCTATACATTGTGATTGCTCATGCAAATCCCTGAGGAGGCTTAAGGCAGACTAGAAATGTCTGTGATATGAGACATAATTCGCCTTGTGCTACAAAAAAAAAAGAGGACCCATACATAGGAGATTAATCAGATGTTGACCTCAGCATTGCCAGGAATCAGAGTATTTGCCATAGCTGGCGTAATGATGACC